TCGTATCAGTATCTTGTAGTGTAATGCCAAAATATAATTTGAATATTATATAGAATAGTTATTAAATATGAAACAGAATATTGCCCATAGTATATGGATATTTTATGGAGTATTGCCAAAATATAATATCAGTATCTTATGATGTATTGCTAAAACCTAATATGGATATGTTATAATGTATTACCAAAATAAAATTTTAGTATTATAAAGAGTAGTGTTATTAGATATGAAATAGAGTATTGCCTAAAATTAATATGGATATTTTATGGAATATTGATATCGTATCAGTATCTTGTAGTGTAAAATATAATTTGAATATTATATAGAATAATTATTAAATATGAAACAGAATATTGCCCATAGTATATGGATATTTTATGGAGTATTGCCAAAATATAATATCAGTATCTTATGATGTATTGCTAAAACCTAATATGGATATGTTATAATATATTGCCAAAATAAAATTTTAGTATTACAAAGAGTAGTGTTATTAGATATGAGACAGAGTATTGCCCAAAGTTAATATGGATATTGTTTGGAGTATTGCTAATGTATAATGTCAGTATCTTATAATGTATTGTTAAAACATAATATGGATATATTACAAGTTAGTATTATTGGCTATGAGATCAAATTTTGTTGGAAATTAATATGAATATTATACAGAGTATTAATAACATGTGATATGAATATTACAATAAACTAAAGTATTATTTACATATGTTGAAAAATATTGGATATGAGACGAAGTATTATGAATAAATTGATATGGATATAGATTATTGGAATATTATACGGATATGTTATAATTTAATTGATGTATAGTTTAATAGTTCATGAACTATTATGTACTAATATGATCTATTTCTTCATGTGGAACACAATGAACAGTCTTTATAATTTTATCTGACTTATCTTAATTATCATTCATCTAAGCTGCATCAATTTTGACCCGTGTTGCGTGATGGTCATAGAGTAAATCATCTTAAATTGCGTCTAATAGTGTAACATATAGTGTATGACATGTATGACATGTATATATTACATATGTAGATTACATGCAATAAATATGTCAAAAAAATTATGTATAAATTGTCAATGTGAGTAAAAATCAAGTAATAGTTTTTATTAGATTCAGTTTGCAAATAAATTATATACATTTATAAAAAGAAGAAAAACTGTATATTTGTTTTGAAATATGTATTGTTCTCAAATTAGCTATTGTTAAATTAATTATTAATTACTAAATAATTTGTCAAAAAATCCGATAGTCAAATGTGATACGGTATCTAACAGAACACGTTTACTATCTTTTGCATTGCGCTTCATAAATAACGCACTGTTATATGATATCATACGTGATATACAGTGTTGATACCATGTAAATGCACCCCTATAATCAATGTTGAATAAATTTTATTTAAGAAATATTGTAAAACAGTACCAACCCAATTTAAGAAATCGCATTTATTTACCGCATATTATAAAACGCTCAATGTGTGGACAGTAAATTGTGTTAATAACTGTATATTATATATAATAACTACATTACATTTGCATATGTAATATACACATTAATCTTCCGCATTTTTAACCTCAAAAAGACTTGCAGATTAATCTTCATGCATATGAAGTTTTTCTTCTTTGGAAAATGAAACGAACTGTGTCAAGTCATTCTCATCGAGATGAAAGATCGAGAACATCACGCAGTGGAGATTATGAAACTGGTCTACGTTCAAAAACGGAAGAAGAACGATTACGGCGTAGGCGCGAATGGATGATAGAACAAGAAAAACTACGGGAACATGAAAAATTGAAGGCGAAGATGATTTTAGAGTATGAAATACGTCGTGCTCGTGAAAAAGGTTTACCACTACCGAAAGGAAGATTCTCACATCACAGTCGTAGTAAAAGTAAAAGCAAATCTCCGGAAAATCGACATAGAACTGCCACATCAAGTACATCTAAAACAGCCATATTATCTAAAAAGTAAGTATAAATCATGCAAGACATTTTAAAAAATGTTTAATAGTATTATATCATGTGTAAGATGTATAAATTGCACAATAATTATATCAATTATAATTATTGATTGTGCAAATTGCATAACAACTAGATACATATTATTTTAAGTGCAAATTATATTGTATAATATAATTTAGTTTTTAATTTTAATAAAGAAGATTGAAATTCAGTGAATTATATATTAAATTATAGAAAATAAAACATTATTTTGCACTAGATTAGAACCATCAGATGGTACAACACCTTTATTTAAGGGACCAGAAGGCACACAAGTTAGTATTGTGGAATTACGAAGTATCAAAGTAGATATTCACAGAAATGTGCCAGGCAAAGCAACAGCTGATGAACTTCAACGAGCTATTGTCAATCCTGAAGATGTCCAGGTCATGAGAAGAGAGGGTAAAATGTTGTTTTTTTCTATAATTACTTGACAATTTCAGTCAATATCAGTCATTCAGTGAAGAAATATTGAAAGAGCATATGAATTCAACTAAGAAGATGATTCCTTTTGGGAGTTTCCAAAAATCGTAATTTATAAGTTAGAGTTCCAGTAGATTGTATGCTTTGCAATGTAAAGTTAACAATCATATATTGCATTTTTTTTGGATATAGTAAGTAAGAGACAGTAAGACTCAACCATCAGACTGAAATGAAATTGTGATTAAAGTCTAGATAATAAGAATAATAAAATGATCACTTTTACTAATGCAACATCTGAAGAAAGATAATACGTTTCTACGGCTATGAAGATAATAGATTTATTATTATATTGCCTTCTATAACAATTTAGACAACTGTAAAATTAATAATACATTCTTGATTCACTAAGGATGAAGAAAATTTGGAATACAACGTTGGATTTGGATATTGAACAATAATGTGCAATACGTAAGCACAATGATTTTTATCTTGAATGTCTTAAGAGTGCTTTTATTTTCTTTTGCTGCTTTTTCTTTTTTTTCTTTGGCTATCGAGTTTGCACAAAAAAATTATATTTTTGGAATGTTTTAAATAATATTAGATGTAGAGAATATGGTTAGAAAATATGTTTTAAATTTTTGTTTCATTTTGTGCATTCTCTGTGTGCTTTGCTTTTAGAATGCTTGCATGTTTAAAAACGCAAAAGCTTAATTATAAAGTTTTAATTTCCATGATGATATGTGAAATGTTAAATATAAATTCAACAATAGAAGAAGGAATATTATTTATTGAACTACAAAGCCCATGATTCTACAATGGAAGAAATGAAATTAAATTCAACAGTAAATAATTTGAATGTTATACTTAAAATTTTTATAACAAAACAAGATTTTTAATTTATTTGGATTCATTGGTTTTTACTTTCTTATATATAAAACTACAAGCAATATAACAAGAGAATATTATAAAAGCAACTAAGTAATTATTGAGAAGTAATTATTTAAAACATTTTCAAGTGAAAGTTCTTCAATTTGATATAATATAATAATTATGATATAATTAATTTTTCATCATCAAACATATCAAGAAAAATAAACAGTCAAACTGTGGAGTTATCTATCAATAAAGTGGAAGATTTTTTTAATCATCCTGGAAGATACAAAGCATCACGGAAGATTTTATTATAGGATTATAATTTTATTGATCAAAAATACTTTAATTTACAAAATTTTCCTAGAAGACTTATTTTTTAACTAAAATTTTAATAGATAAAGATTAAGATCTTAAAAATTCATAAAATCTAAAGGAAATCATTAATTTTTAGCAATTATTATTAACAAAAGATACAATAAATCTAATGAAAAAAATGATAGTATTTTTCATATGGAAATAAAATTTATCAATTTATACAAATAGAATAAAGTATTGTGTTGTATTTTTATAATTTAGTTTTTTTTATAATTATACGTGTATATAAAACTATTTTATGGTTTCTCTGGCACTGAAGAAAATTGTAAGTCATAAATTCTTTTATAGTTTGAAGATTGACTTATTTACAAAAACGGAAGTTTTGTTGTACTTAAATGAGTAATCAGTTAAAGTAATTTGTATTTTTAATAATAAATATATCTTTTTTACATTATTGATATATGAAATATTGATATAAAATCGAAGATATAAAATAATATAAAAGATAATTATATTTCTGCATTTTTTATATCGTATTTTAGTTAATCTTGTACTTCTGTTATGAAGTGCCCTAACTTACAATCGTTCAGAAGTAGCCAGTTTATTTACATATCAACCTTAAAATTTCCGAGGTCTGTCATAGCTGCTAATACTGCTTAATTGCTTTTTTTTTGTATATATGTACTTTAAATTTCGTATTTATAAATTTTTTAATTATAGGAGAAGGATCCAAACCTATATTTGAAAGAGAAGAAATAAAAAATGCAGCAGTCAAGACAGAAGAAATTGTCGAACATCGTACAGTTGTTGCTATAAATAATGAAAACTTAGGTTTGTTTATTATTTAAAATTTAAACAAATTGCTGTTGCTTTTGTTGGAATTGATAAAATTATATTTTTCTTAAAAGTTATTATTTTATATATATTAAAATGTTATTTGAAAAAATAATAAGTTTAATTTTTAGAAAATAAATCAGGAGTAAATAAAAAATATACGACATCAAGAAGTCAAAGTTGCAGTCCTCGACGTAGATTGTCTCACTATGCCAGGTTCGTGTATTATAACAATATGATATTTTTTCTTTTTTTTCTTTTTAGACAATAATATGGATATGAATATTAAATGAGTATTGCTATTATTTATATTTATATTAATATTATTTCTAGTAATATTATATCTAGTAATATTATAGTCTAGTAACATTATATTGTATTAAAATATTTAATATTATACTTTTAATTATATAATTTGTAAGTATTTATTCTGTATTTCACAAATTTAAATTATTAGTGTACAATGTACACTATATATATATATATATATACATACATATATATATATACACACATATATATAATACATATATAAGTATAGAAACACTGAAATGTATATATATAATACATAAAGATATATAATGAAGATATATATGATACATATATAAGTATAGGAACATTGAAATGTATTCATAATCATGACACTTTGTTATGATATATGTTTGTAACTACTTTAAATTTAATTGTGATTTTTTTATTTTTATTTTAGGCATGTGTTTTGTGTTATTATAGTTTGTTCTGTTCTAGCTTTTACTAATGCTTCGCAAGGAATACAAGAAAGGATAAAAATATGGACAGCAATATAATTTGCAATATACCTGGCTTGCTTGTGCCACTACCAATGCTTATGTTTGCTTTTTATTTTGCTATTTTTTTCTTTTTTTCCTTTTTTTAAGGACAATGCAAAGATAATTTTTATCTTTTTTAAGGACAATGCAAAGATAATTTTATGAATAAGACATTAAATAGAATACCTCAGAAGTCATTTTTAATAAATGAAAAAATGTAAATTTTTTTATTATCATGTCATGAAATGATAAGATTTATTACATTAATATCTTATATATAACATTGGTATGCTATATTCGATTTTTAAATGCTTTTTGTTGCAATATATTGTTCATGTAGTAATTAATAATAATTGTTGAAAGGTAAGTAACTTGGAGTTTTAAAAATAAATTTAACGTTTATATATAATGTGGAGATTATTTGTTTTATTATACATTTTATTGATTGCTTTGCATCATCCTTAATCATAAAATAAGTTTCATAAAATTGTACAAGTTTTTTACATTTTGATTTGTACTATAGTTTTATTTATTATGTACATATTATTTTGAAAATTATTCTATTTGCTTTTACATACACAATACAGTCAACACAAATTTTCTAACTTTTCATTTTTTATTTTCTTTACTTCAAATACAGAATTTATTTTCTATTAATAGCAGTCAATAAATGCAATATAGTACTATGTAAATAGTAATAGTAATTCATCAATTTTCACTATTATTTCTTTGATAAATTATATTTTATATAATATTAATTTATATTATATAATATTTAATGATATCATCATTAAAAAATTCACTACTTGGTGAAACACAAATAAATATGGATAATACAGAGTATTGGTATAAAATGGTACAAATATGGATATATACTATAATTTTACTATAAATATATGTTTAGAAACTAGACTTTTGTTACGTAAGCACTCTTTTTTAGGTATGAGGATTCAAAATCTGATGACAGAAATAGTTATAAAAATGATAGGTATAGCTTATTTCTTTTATATATTTGTTTAACATGTATATTTTTGATATGCTTTATTATATTGTATTATATAATTTATCCAGAGAAAGAGATCGTAGTAGAGGTAGAAGTCGAGAATACAAAGAAAAAGACAGACGACATGGTCAGTTACATACTACAAGAGAAGGTCGAGAAAGAAAAGGTCATCGAGATCATTCACGTTCAAGAGAGCGAGAACAACGAACATGGAGTAGAGACTCTCATCACAAGTATGTAATAAAATATGTGAAATGTCATAGTGTTTCGACAATTAAGTTTAATAAATATAATCATTAATACAACAGGTTTAAAGATGAAAGATCTCATCGAGAATATCGAGAAAGATCAAGAGAACGATCTCGAGAAAGAAGTGAAAGAGATAGGTCTAGAGAACACAGAGTACCGTCATCGCATTATATTGAGCAAATTCCCGTTCCAGTGTACTATGGAGTAAGTTGAATTTATAAATGAAATATAATTTCTGGATATTAAATTTCAATGGTCATTAGGATTTTCCTGCAAGACCAATAATGGTTGGGCCTTTAGTTCCAATTCGAGGGCAGGTACCTTTAGGAACTAGACATATGATGGGTCCATTAAGACCATTTCCACCACGATTTATTCCACCAGATATGTATAGATTACGTCCACCTCCAAATCCTAGTAAGTATATTTATTAATTACTAACACTAATATGACAACGTTAATTATTTGTATTTCATACAGGATTTGGGCCAATGTACTAATGAAAGATTTGCGCTAAATGGAATATTAATGATGTTTTATGTAGTAGTTTTGTGTAGTAGTTTTATTGTGTTGTATGCTGTATCAAATATTTAGTGATCTTTTACAAGAATTCAAATATATAGTGAAGTAGATCCAATCTATGATAATGACTACGATTTTACGAGATATACAAATGTTTTATAGTTTTTTAATTATCATGTTATATCATAAGAATTTTTTAAGATTATGATAAATTCGTTGACATGCTCTAATGTTAACGTTGAAGCAAACATAGTCGCAATTTTATTTTAAGAATCATTGATTTCTTAAGCATTAATAACTATGTGACTTAAAAGTTTTAAAGCGTATTTAATCTTTTAATATAGTTTCTGAAATTATTATTAAAATATCTTAAGATTGATGTATTTGATTATAAAATTTGTTCATACTTTTTAAATTGTAATAATTTGTAAGAATTTTATTACAACTGATAATGATTTATGAGTCAGTTAAAATATCTTAAGATTGATGTATTTAATTATAAAATTCGTTCATACTTTTTAAATTGTAATAATTTGTAAGAATTTTATTACAACTGATATGATTTATGAGTCAATTATTGAATTTAAGGAAAGCATGTAAATATGATGTATCTAAATAAAATATTTATTTAAAGCTCTTTTAAATTAAGTAATTTGATATTTTCAGAGAAAATGCTTTGGATGAATGTGATCAGTATGAATTTGTAAACGAAAAAATTGAATTGAATTTATTGAGAGGAAAATTTATTTTATTTTATTAATATTGTTGACTAAAATTTATTGTTGTCCTTGTTTGCCGACAATACTGCCATCTACATATCTCTCAGATCCGATTGTAACTGAAAGAAAAACAGGAAAAATTTAATAGATGGTACCACCTGTACTGATCGAAGTTGGTATAATAGATTTCTTAAATTCCAGCAGTCACCTATCTTGTCCTTATGGATGTTTACCCCTTTAACTAAATATATTATAAAATTTAACAGGAAACTATAACAATAACTATTTATCTTAATTAATGTTTAACATAGCTCTTTATAACGTTTGCTTTGATTGATTTTAAACTGAGAATACAATATATTTTCTGCTATTTTATTTTCTCCTTTCTTCATTTGTCGCCGCTGTTAATTCGTTTTTAAAAATACGCGCGCATCTTTAAAGAAGAATGATGCAACAAGGATGAAAAAGAAGCGAAAAGACGAGAAATTATCATAGAAAAGAGCAATGAGTAGAGAGGTTATCATGTTTTGAATGGGAAATCCAGAGCGTAAGAAATCATTTCTGTTGTTTTTTGTTTCTGTATCATTATGTTTGCTTTTATTTCTAGCATGCAGTAACAATATTTTTTTAATAGATATATGTACTGGTTCATCATCGTATTGGACAAATCACAGCTTTCTTATTAACGTTTCGAGAAATTAATCATGAGTTATATTAGAATTGCGAAGTAATCAAGATATCGTATTACGAGCTGTGAATGGATGATGATTTCGATTTAAATTAGAGCTGCGGAAGAATGTTTATTTCGATTTGTAAAATTACGGTATAATAATGATCGTGTTTTCCTTATCGTTGTACAGTGTACGATATCGTGTTTTGTTTTTAGCATTTCTGTTTATAAATTGCTGTAAATTCTTCTCAATAATTGGAATTTATCACTTTCTATTTTATTTAAATTTGAATTAGAAAAATATCAGTTTCTAACAGTAACAATCTTTTTTTCTACAATAATTTTTAAGAAGCAATATTGTGTCAACAAATGATCTTTCAAAATCCTTTACATTAATTGCGATTATGATAGTCATTTCTCATATCGTCGAATCACTTGATGCAACTAAAAAAACATAAAGATGGCGTTAATAAATTAATATTTATTAACATTACGTAAGCGTGTAAAGAAAGAAATTTTTTTCAAAAGTAAATCAGTTAGTATTGCGACCGTACAAATTATTCTTAAAAATTTGCCAAATATTTTTGTGTGAAAATGTTAGTTTGAATTTGAACCGTTAATGCGCTGAATCGATAACGTCGCAGCATACGAACGCGAAAATAATAAGTGAAGCTGAAACATGGAAGATGAAAACTCATCGAATGTCATATCTATTTTTCGTTATGTCTTTCTGTAGTGCAAAATGCATTGATGCAAAATGGAGTAAATGGATCTATTGTCCGTGGCGGTACGTTCAATTTTGTAATCTGCATCTTGTTTGCGAGTATATAGTACGTACAGCCAATAACAGATAGCGTCTTCGCTTCTTGCTAATACGTGTTTAAGCAAACACGTATGACAAATTTCCCGCGTGATAGCGTGTCAAATTGTCAGTCAACCATCAACCACCGGTGTACGTGTTGTTTGCAAAGATACGCATCGTTTTTTCCTATCGCGGAAGTATTCAAAAGTTCAGTGCCAACGAATTGTGAAACTCCAAAAAGAAAAAAAAAAAAAGGGCCAGTGTCAACAGGTTGTACATACAAATTATGTATATGTTTACACGACGTCAGTTTGCGTAATAAAAATTCCACACGTGTTTCTACTCGATGTCTCGATCGAACTTCACTTGAAAATAGTTTTGTCCATCACTTGCAGGAACAAGTTGTTAAATCTTTCTATATCTAGTCGAAAGAACATACATAAATTGAGTGAATTAGGGTGACACGTGCATTTTTATATTATTCTAATTTTATGAATAGAAATTTCTATATGAATTAGAATAATATGAAACATGAAACGTTTCGTGCACGAAATTTTGTTGAATTTTTTTCAGCAAAATTTTAATAATAATAGATATTTTGTCACATCATGATTGATACATAATTACTAGTTAAACTTTTCCACAAATATTTCTTAACGTTACGTTGTTAACTGAAAATCTTTACAGGCGCTCATCTTCAAGTTTTTCTCGTTTCTTCAATGACACGATAAGTCTCTTTGATTGCAAGTATTTCCCTTTGATACGTTTGTAATTGTTCATGCAGCATCGATCGAGATAAATTGTTGGACTTATCTTTCGATTATTCGAGGATACGTATTATACTTCGTGGGATTTTTTTTTCGTTTAATTTTATTTTTAATTCTATTTTATTGTACTTTTTAATAGTACAAGGCATGTTGCATATTATATATGCTCATTTGCATGTACATAGTATGCTGCAGGTGCTTTTATAATGTATTTAGAAGAATATATTAATCGCTTGTTATATATGCTGTATATATCGTGTTGTGAAGATGTGTTGAGGAATTTCAAAACAGTTGAGAAACAGTATTCGTCACAAGGAAGAACCTAAACGGTTATGTTATGATACGTATCCAGTTACCACGCAGTGGGACGTATATACAAAGCAGATTGTTGCATTGATGCGCCACTTTTGTTCTACTTTATCTTCGGATCTGTTGAATGCCATCGATTACAATTTTCATGTACACGTGCTATTTCTTACGAACGCAGATGTTCCGTTTCATCTTCGATCTTAAAGCTTCTCCTTCACTTCTTTTCTATCCCTTCCTCCTTTATTTCTCCACAATATCACAATTATAGATATTTTATGATCCGTTGTATCGTAAATGTTCGCGGAAGGCCGTTCTCCAATGACCCGCCATTTTCAAATTGATCTATCTTTATCGGCAAAGGAAATTAATTTGTTCCCATTTGTGTGAACAATTCCATTGTCTTATCTGAACGCCTATATCTTTTGTTCAGAAAAATCATTTATTATTCTTTGCACAAGGTATTGCATTTTAATCTGGTCATTATAAATGTAAATGTACATATGCATGAGTTCTTTTCTTTTCGAATGGATTCTTTTCTTTCAAGCGTGACATCGATTATGAATTCATTCATTATCGTTATGATATGTATAATGATCGACATTACACTTTATCGAAAAAGAAAAAA